AGGAGCAATGGTCTCAAGTTGTGGTGGGACAGGTCCAGATTAGATATTAGGAAAAACGATTTCACTAGGAGGGTGGTGAAGCACTGGAATGGATTACCAAGGGAGGTGGTGGAGTCTCCATCCCTAGAGGTGTTTAAGTCTCGGCTTGACAAAGCCCTAGCTGGCAGATGTACCCAGTGTTGCTCACGTCTTTAACTGAAGACAGGGATGTGAACAACTAGTCAGCTTGTCGACTATTCGATAAGCAAATATTTATCGGATAGTCAACACACTAGTCGACTAGTTGCTTCCCCCGCATTTGCAGCCTCTATCAGAAAGAGGCAGCAAGGGTGGGAAAGAGGGGGAGATACTTCAAAGTGGTAGGAAATAGTTTTTGCACTTGTTTACAGCCGGTTTTGTTATTATGGTACTAAACATGAATACATTCAAAGAAAAAATAAAATAAAAATGAACAGTGAAGGTTCCTAGATATGTTGATATTATGCACCAGTGGCAATTTAAAATACTTTAATCCGACCTGAAATAAAAGTACAAACAACTCACAGAAAAACCAAAGGGAATTAAATCTAAAATGTTAACTGTGCCCTTCATAACAGCTTATGAAGTCTGGTTTGAAGCCAGAAAATAAATAAGTGATCTGCTCTAAAACCTGGGGGGAAAAAAAAAGATACTAATCTTACACCATCATCCACACTTTAGACATGAGTGAGTTATATTTTTTAAAAAAAGCATGAATATTTGCTAAAGGAAAACACTAAGTACTGCTGATAACCACAATTACTATGCACTTCTCATGTTAAGGTTACAACATTAGCCCTCCCACAAAACAGCAAAAAGTTACACAATTAAGACTGGTGCTATGCATGTTAATTTTAAATGAATCCCTGAAGTTTTCACAATGCAATCTAAATTTAAGTATTTATGATGCCATCATCACCATGTGTTTTACAGCAAGAATCTACAGATGTCCCTTATATTAATTTGAAACATCATGCTTTAAAGACAGGTGAGAGATAAGAACAAAAAACCAAGTACTGTATTCACTTTTCATAGACATTAAAGCAAATTAACTAATAAAAATATGCTACATACAAGAATAGTTTGATTTAGATCAATTACTAGCTAACAAAAACCATCAAATGTTATTGGCACATCTATTGCCAGGAAGGCAGAGGAGTTTCAGCCTGTTACTAGTCTTCATCATGCTAACCTCCTCCCTGTTTGAAAGGGTTGTTTTCTTCCTCTTTGGTGCTCATAGCAACCAATTACATTATACCTCTTTGACTGAGCAGCTAGGAAGACTAAACAAAATAACCAACAGATACGAAAGCAACAAGATAGCTGTCTCCAGGCTGACCTTGGTGGACACATGCTGTTCATTTTCAAAGCTGTATAGCAGCTGTCATGCCAGTCTAGACACTTCAAAATAGGGAAGTAGGGGGAAAGAAATTTAAATTAAAGTAGGTCTGCAAAACAGTCATCAGCATCTGTCCTTCAGGTAGCTTCTTGTACTGCCAACTTTGTCCATGCTCTTAACCAAAGCAATAGCTCTGGGAAGGACACTGCAACAATCAGGAGTATGATACTTATTGCTATGTGCTGCCATTGCTACAGGTAGCTTTTTCCATCACCCACAACTTGATTCACCAATAAAAGGGCCTGAATTTCAGAACAGCAGGCATAGAATTATTTACTTGATTTACATACATACCCAATTACCAAAACTCTATGCACCGAGTAGGCAGTTTATTTGCACTTTCAAGATGCGGTCTTGGCAACATGTATACCTGTGTGTCTGATACATGTGCAAAATCATAGTAAAGATGTGCACAAGTCTGGAAATATAGGCATAAACTGTTCTAGCATTCTAAACAATTCATGGATCCCACACATTTATTACCTGATAACAAATCATGTGTCCTTGGAAAGAAATGCAGCACAAAGGGTTGTCTCTGATACTGGTTCCTCATAGTCCTTCCTAAGTGCTTGAAGTTTGCAGGGGGCAGGGAAGATACACGAAGCACAGACATTTAGTTTTTAATATGCTATAAGGACCCTCTCTTGGTATGCTTAGTCCTCAACCACCATCATATATGTGCTTAGTTCTGTCTTCATCACTGGAAGATTGCAGCCACTTTCTGAACCAGCCACCCCTTTGTCCTGGCAGACTTTGCATTACCTGTGCTGTGTACCAATCAGGCCCACTGACAAGGGGCAAAGGTAGTAGCTATCTGGACCCAGCGATTCAAAGGGGCATGGAGCTTCCAACCAGTGCTACTACAGCAGCGGTGGTGGCCAGAGCCAGAACACCACTCTGCATAGCTCTGAAAGCTGAGCAGGGGGCATACTGCATTCCAGGCAGTGCTCGGCACTGGATGCCCCCAGCCCCACCCCTTCCACCCAAGGTCCTGCCTCTTCAGAGGGGCGGAGGGTGCAGAGCCAGCCCCATCACACACCTTGCCCTAGGGCCTGCAGTGGCTGTTGATCCCACTGGTATCAAGTAAACCCAAGATGAATACAAATTATTGGCTATATTTTGCCTTAAAATAATATTTTGTACCCATTACCATGGTATCCGGGCACCTTACAAGGTTTGAGGGAACAGACATCACACTCACTACTGCTGCCTGCAACTTTTATCGGTCTCCTATGAAACTTGATTTAAATTAGTTGACTAGGTGTTGGCAAAGAGGTGCATCCTGTCTGTAGTCTGCACTATGCCAGTATGGATGTATTGGCAGAGCCCCTGGCATAAACGCAGAATATGCTAACAGGAGAAATTTAGCCAGCTAGTAAAACCACCTCTCCAAATAACAGTAGCTATGCTGACAGAAGCCCTTTTCTGCTGTCCTATCTAGGGGTACTTCTAGACTGCAGGGGGTTTTCGGGATATCAGAGGTATCCCAAAAAACTCCGCCACATCCTGCTTTTTTTGTAGAAGAGCAGATGCACAAGGAAGAAGAGATTTTCTGAAAGGGTTTTTTTTCCCCGAATTTTGACCCAGTGTAGACGGGCCAAATTTCAGAAAAGCCTCTTCCAAAAAAAAACCCGTGGAAATAGGTACACAAATTGCGGAGTGTATTTTCAGGGGCAGCCGAATGATGGAGCTGGAGAGCCCAATGATGATGTCATGGGGGCGCTCGGGGCACCCACCGATGACGTCAGTCCATTGACAGCCCTGCAGGCAGGGGCACCGATCACATGTTCTGCCTGGGGGCGCCAGCTGCTGCAGCCAGCCTCGGGCCTCTCCTGCGTATTTTGCGTACCTTTTTCCGAAAAAAAAGGTTGTAGTATAGACATAGCCCGGTGTTTTCTGAAATAACTGTGTTAGCTGAAGAGGTATTTTGTTCACAAAAGTTATGCTGACAAAACTTTGTAGTTTAGACCTGACTTAAAAGGGAGCTGGCATCTGCTTAAAAAAATTACATAGGTGAGCTCCTACTAAAAAAAGCTCAGCCTCAAACACCAAGATTCTTTGTCCTAAGGACATTTAATTCCAATGTTCTCGTCACAGCTAAATTCCCCAACCTGACACACTGAGTGCAGAGATGGGGAACCAGCGAGTAGAATAAACTCTGTAAAACATGTCTCTGACTCCCAGAGACTGAGATAAAAAAAAAAGACAAAGACTGATCTCTTGCTGCCACCACCCAAATGAATAAAAGAAAATATAAAATAAACCCTTTTCCAGGAAAGAGATCACTTGGGAATCCCCTTCCAAAGGCAAAGCTCTCCTCCCTGCTCCAACCTCCATTTTGCTTGGAATTGGGAAAACAAACAGAGGGAATCTGCTGAGAACAATAGACTCTTCCCAGGTATCTAGGCATGTAAACTAAGGACACATCAATCAACCAATACCAATTAATCAAAACAAAAAAGGAAAACACATTTATTATTAAAACAAAACAACTGCTGCAAGCATAGTAAATGACTAGGTGTTAAATAGCCATGAAGTGACAGACTCAGGTAAAAAATCCCTGGGCTGTAATCCTTAGTTACAAAAAAAAAAAACAATTAACCGGCTCAGAAATGTTTTCCAAACCCGCAAACAAGGAAAACAGTAAAACCTGACGAACTATCTAAACTTTTCCCTACTTACACATTTCCATTCCTGGTAGACATGGGAACCCATTCCTAGGAGAGCCTGACTCCCTTGTTACCTGAAAGAAACTGCTCTGATCTCAAACAAAGAAGAGGGAAAGAAAATTCCCCCTCTCTTGGTTTGAAATTCCTAACTGCATTTTTATTGGCTGACTGCCCGAAGTCCCCTTCCTCAGGTGCATCTCCAGTTGCTTAATCCTTTCCTCACTCTCCAGGAAAGTCAGACTCTCCTTAGCAGCTCTTATTTATGACAATTCAAGATAAGCATAGTGGGTGAGATTTTGTCAAGCAATGACTAAGGCAGCCTAGCATGCTGCATTAACAATTACATTTTTATAACAATTTCAGTATTTTTCTAACAGAATTAGAAAAGCCATCTAGGTGTTCACAGACTTCTGGGGCTGTGATGAAACAATTGCAGAATTTATTTATAGACATAAGCTGTTCATTCTCATCTACTATACATTTTAGAGAGTTTGTGCATCTGTCTGTGTCCCTCTCCATCCTTCTGTGAGTCCATTTGTTCAAGAACGCCTCCTAAATGATAAAAGCTAGGACCACCAAATTTTGTATGCAGCTTCTTCTTATCATAACTTAAAGCAAGCTCAGGGTTTGGTTGTGCCAGAACAATGGGATATGCATGAAATACTCTTGTTTCACATCAAATGGAAGGGAAGGGAAATGATATCAGGGACTGTTATACTCACAAGTAACCATGGGGGGATAGCAAGAGCCCCAGCCCTAGTAAACAGCCACTCGCCAGCAGTTTGCCCTTTCTGCCCCAGAGAGCAACCAGCAGGTGTCCTGTGTACCCCGTCACCTGCCGCTGGTGAAACACAGGCAATGCCAGATAAGTCTTCTAGTAGTTCATAATTACTGATAGTTGATCTATTTCACAGAATGTAAGAAAATTCCCAGACTGAATCATCACCTTTAAGATTCATATCAGTTTTGATAAGGAACTACCTGGCTTCATCTTTTGAATGACTAGGTAAGCTGCCTGCCTTCTGCAATGTTGTCCTGAATATTCCTATTAAAGCTCCAATTCATTTTACAGGGACTACTCACACACATGTGTAAACATAAGCACAGATCTGCAGAACCACAATCTTCAATGCTACCCATTAGTCCCCTCTTCTTCCACCAACCTAGGATGCTACTCATTGGCCTCCATCTTGCCTCCTCACTCATTTTTCCCAAGTCAAGGAAAGGCTGGTGTGGGTGAAAAGCTAGAAGCCATTGTTAAGCAATTCACTAATGTAGTATTTTGGCATTTTTAACATATTTGTTCCTTGAATTTTCCAAAATTAAGTTTGCTGAATTTAAAAAGAACATTTTGCAAACAGCTGGCCCGCAAAACATTAACTATTTTAACATATGCAAAAAAAGCAAGCAAACAAACAAACAAACATAAAACACCCATCCACCAACCTACTGGCTCAATTATTGGTGAGAAAGTCACACGTATACTGTGTACTTCACACATTTTTCTTTTACCAAAAGCAATTCTCAAACTTTAGCACCCTGAGGACCTGCATTTTGATTTAAAAATTTTCATGAAAACCCAAATCCCCCTCCCGTTCAGCCACAAGACTGCCTCCATTCCACCTCTTCCCTAAAGGCTTCACCCTAACCCCAGTTCTTCCTACATAGCCTCTCCTTTTCCTGCCTCCTCCCCCAAGCATGCCCCAACCATGATCTTCCCCCTCCTTCTCAGAGCTTCCTGCACACCGCAGAACAGTTCTCTTGTATGCAGGAGGCAGGGGCAGATGACCATTTTGCCGGGCCCAGGGAAGAACTATTTCGCGGGGGCCCCCTTTGTCACGGCGCATGCGCGGGGCCCAGCGTGGCTGCCCCGCTCACCCTGCCCTATATCCACCCCTGGCAGGAGGCATAGGGAGGGAGGCAGAGGAGCTGCAAGAAAGCAGGGAAAGAAGTTGATCAGTGGGGCTGGCAGCCCCCCAGAGGTACCCTTGTGGCCCCCAGAGGTCTGCTTAGCTTGAGAAATACTGTTACATATTATGTGCATTATTCATAATTTGGATACCCAACGAACTACCTTGGTTTTAAAAGAATTCTAGATAACAAAATTGAAGTAGTATCTGTGGGGGTGGAGGGGACGTGGGAGTAGTATGACAGCTGGAGGAGCTGCCAAAATTCTGTTCCTTTACCTGCATGCTGCTTCCCCTCCCATTGGGGAAAGAAGCAGAACCCTAGACTGTCCTCTGGCCAGGCTGCTGCTGTATGGAGCCGGAAAAGACATAACTCTGTGGAAGCGTAGTGAGCAGGACTGGGAGTTCTGCTCCTTCGCCGTCTGTAAGGGCCAGCGGAGAAAGGAGAAGAACACTGTTGCACTGCTCCCAGCCCCCTCTCCACCCAGACACCAAAGGATGGGGAGGGGAAGGAAAGAGCATGCGGACCCAGGTTAGACAGAACTATGTAGGGTCTTGTGAAGAAGTCACCTGGCCCCCCATATCAGGAAGAAATTAATTTCACTTTCACTACTGAATGAACATCAGTACATTCTCAATCTGCCCCCCCATGTTTAAAACGTGTTGTTTGCTTGAACCAGTTTTCGCCGGGTTTAAGTCAGTTGTGTGAACACAATTTTTCATTTCCATCATGATTAGGTGTATGTTTCCCCTCTTTGTCTCTTCAAGACAAAGAGGAGAAACATACTCTGGAACCAACATAATCCCAATCCTGCAAAGATTTATTGTTTATGTTATTATTTGTTTAGTTTAAAGAATATAACTAGCTCCACTGAGCTAAATGAGTTAAGCAGAAGCTTTTAGCTCTGCATAATCAGGGCCTGTTCATGCAACAAGCTGAACAAAAAGGTGGAAAATTTAGTGTGAAGCAGAACATTTACTTAAGAATTTCTCTTGAATTTTTTTAAATCAAAGGCCTAACAATTTTATATAGTTTTTTTAGGTGCACCTACTCACTAGCCCAGTGAACACTTAAAAATAATAGAGGACATAAGCAACAGTAACTAATTTGTTATGCCATCTCCAATGCCCATTACAACTGCTCCTAAATAAAACGCTCATTTTCTAGACCTTGCAAAAGGTATTTTGTTCTTATTAACTCCTTTTCTATGTGAGTATGGAGATGTGTGATGGAATGCCAGTTTAATTAACAGCCAGGGTGCCAGACACAATTCTCCAAAAACAACACCTACAGAAAAGTCACTGATCGCTACAAAAACGTGTCTCTGTATACCAAAATCCAATTAAAAATCCTTTTAGCTCAACATTCTTGTTTTTGGAAGAAAAATAAACTAATAAACTCATATGTTTCTGCCTCATATGATGAAGAAAAAGCTTTTTAAAACAGTAGAAAATAATTAAAACAAAAGGCTCATTAGACTAGAGGCTTTAAATTTCTAGTCTGTTAATATGTTATGTCATTTTAAAATGATTAATAGACAAGTTCTAAGTTATATACAGGCAGTCCCCGGGTTACGTACAAGATAGGGACTGTAGGTTTGTTCTTAAGTTGAATCTGTATGTAAGTCGGAACTGGCATCCAGATTCAGCCGCTGAATCTGGACACCAGTTCTGACTTACATACAGATTCAACTTAAGAACCCGAGGCGTCCCCAAGTCAGCTGCTGCTGAAACTGATCAGCAGCTGATTCCAGGAAGCCCGGAGCAGAGCAACTCTGCCTCGGGCTTCCTGTAGTCAGCTGCTGGTCAGTTTCAGCAGCGGCTAACTTGGGGACGCCTGGGGCAGAGCAGCTCGGGTGCTGCTGGGTTGGTCCAGTAGCGCGGCCGCTCCTCGGCGCTACTGGACCAACCCAGCAGCACCCCACCTGCTCTGCCCCAGGCGTCCTGATTCAGCCACTGATTCCGCC